CGCGCGCCCCCCAGGCGTGGGGTCGCGGGCCTGGCCCTGCGCGGTCGCTGCTCCTATTAAGCCAGCGCGGGCCAGAGCCTCCCTTGGCGCTGGATGCAGCCTTGCAAAAGCGGGCACCCCCGCCCTTACCCACAGGCAGCAGCAGGAGCTCTTGCGGGAGGCCTGAAGGCTTTCCCTAGGACCAGCGCCTGAGCTGGGAGGCGAGAGATGCAGCTGGGGAGAGCAAGAGGCCTCTGCTTCTGGACCGCAGCCTTGGGGCGCAGGCCTGCGGGTCGGCTGGCAGCGCTGTCCCTTGCCGGGCTGGCAGAGAGGCACTGGCGCCACTAGCTCCCCGCTCACCGCCCCTGCGCTGTGGCTGGAACTGGCCTGGCGCTTGGGGCCGGCCACCCTGTCTGGGCCTCGCTAGGCCGGGACCTAGGCCAGGACTGTGGGCCCCTGCCCCGTGCAGGTGGAGTGGCAGTGGCAGTGGCACAGCAGGGCAAGGATTTGAATTGCTGGATATGGGAAAGCGGGGGGGTTAGAGCAACATGGGGGGCTCTTCCCATTGCTTCTGCTCGGCGATGGTCTAGGCGTAGCTATGCTGTCCTGTGGGGCTTTGCTGGTGGCTACCTGGGGCTGGGAGGGAAACTTTTCCCCTCCTGCTCTTACTCTTCAGGGAGTTTTTTAGGCTACCTTCTGTAGCCCGGGCTGTGCCAGTGCTCCTCCAGGCGCCAGCCCCGCAGGGTCCCGGCTGCAGGGTCTTGCCCCTGCGCTCAAGGTCAGATCAGTCACCATCTCGGGGGTCAGGGAAGAATTTTACCCCGTGGTCAGATTGGCGTGGAGTCTGGGCGGGTTGCTTTCCTCTGTAGCTGGGGGCATGACTCAAGCAGAGGTTGGACTACACATGACCCTCGCAGGTCCCACCTCTCTGTGACTCCATAGTTTCCTAGTTTCTAGGGTCAGAAGGGACCTGAGCAGATCAAGTCTGACCCCCTGCCAAGGCAGGAAAGAGCACTGGGGCCAAACGACCCCGGCAACGTGTTCATCCAGCCTCCTCTTAAAGACCCCCAGGGTAGGAGCCAGCACCACTTTGCTTGGAAGTTGTTCCCAGATCCTAGCCGC